ATTTAGAAGCGAGTACCAGTATTTAGCAGTTATTATACCTTTAAAATGTAGCCTGTCTTTAAAAACTTTACAATGTTTCCTGTTCTCTGTTCTAGTCACTCCTCCACATGAGGAGTTCTGGGTCCAGTACTGGGCTCCCCAATACTGGGCCCAGAAAAGGGACAGTAGTATCTCTCACATGAGAAGAAGCTAAAAAAATGGGAATGTTAGTCTGTAATAGAAAAGCCTCAATGGTTTCTCATCAATGTTTTAAAGTCCCCGATGGGAGAGAGTAAAGAAAGTGAAGCCAGACTCTTCTCAGTGAAGCCCAGTAACACAAGAGGCAATAGACAAATTTTAAACATGGGAAACTTCATCTGAACATTAGAAAACACCTTTTTTGTTACTGTGAGGGTGGTTAAATGCTAGAACAAGTTGCCAGGAGGTGCTGTTCAACCTCAGCATATACTTTGTGAGCACATAGCTCTAACCTCTGCAGTGACTCCATACCACAAACACAGGCAATTTTATGGGCAACTACCCCAAATTCTTAAGGCATGTTCTACAACCCTCTCAGCTTTTTACCCAGTAAACAAGACTGAGCACTCCTCTGTCTTAAGTAAATTATCAAGTTGCACATATTACGCAGGAAGACACTTGAGCTTGAGAGGTCTATAACAGACACCAGCTAAGACAACGATCAACGAGTCCACAGGTCAAAGTAAACAGTTTGTTTGCCATAACATTTTTAGCTTAAGTAGTTACAGTGATGTTCAAGCTCTTATTCACAAAGAAAATTTAAATCATGACAGTTTTAAAACATGTCTCAGATGGCTGGCAAGAGATTAAAATCCTAATTGTTTTTTCACTCAACTTGAAAACAAAACACTAAAAAGGTCTCTGCCATGCCTGCTCCCCCAAAACAAAATGAGTTCATCCACAACTAATATCACAAATGGGAAAGGCTACACCCACAGATAGCAATGCAAGGAGTTTAGTCTCACTCCACTAAAACAGGGAGGTTATGCAGAAAAGCCCTATCAAAACTAATCTGATCATTCAGGCCTCTTGTCCAGCTGGCTGTATGAGGTCCCTGTTTATATCCATACCCTTTTCAAAAAAACCCCAAAAACTTGTGTAGTAACTGACCTCATCTTCATGGGGCTTTACCTACTGTTCTAAATTACTGTAAAACTAGATTCACAAACAAACTTTGAATACATCAAATTAAAATTTGTACCTTTCTCCTGGAGATCAACTAAAAGACTGAGACAGAAACTGCCTTAATAAGAAAATGTTGAGGAAAGAATGACATCCAATGACATAACTGTACAACTTCTCTCCCTAAAATAGTATGCCTTTTTCCACACAGGATGCACAGTCTTGGTGTTTCTTATGGAGCCAGACACCTCAGTCCTTCCTCTCATTTCAGACCAGAGGAGGAATTGCTCTTCCCATCTTATAAGAACACCATACTAACACCCAGGCCTGCTCTTTTAGTTAACAGCCAAATACACACAACACTGATCATGATATAGGACTTCAAGGTTCAAATCTACACCTTCTCTTAAGCAGGCCATTTGACGGTCAAGCTCTTGCTTACTGGAAGAGCATTCTTGCCATCCTCCCCTGTTCAGGGGAGTTTTAGAGAGAATTTTGTCAGAGAAAGAAGCACAGCACTATGAACTCTGCTTTATCAATAGCATGAACAGGTTCCAGTGAATGCTCCAATTACTCCCTCATACATGTTTTGCAACAGTAATAGTAAAACTCTAGTGTCAACACCCAAAATGGCATAAAATAAGTACTCTGAACATACGGCTAGAGAGATGAGTTCTCTTAGCCCTTACTCTGGTCAGAAGTAAATGAATGCTTCATTCAGTACTGTCCAGGGGCCTAAGTTACACAGTTGGGATGAAAATGCCTTCTCTCATCTAATTTAAGAGCAATCTAAAGCCCCACTACTGAACACATCCCAGTAAGACAGAAGAGATATGTTGGAGGCCCTTCATTTAGAGATTAAACATAATTCCCTACTGTGGATGAGCATGTAATCAATAAGAGTTAAATAAAAGCAGAATCCACTATGACCCCTCCCGATTACAATTTTTTTGTTTGATTGCTTAGGATGAAAGGCCTTTGTGCTAGCATGCTCTCTGTGAATGATCATGGCCTGGAAAAATGCCATAGATATAAAACACACACATTTCATTTGGTCTAAGACCCATGTAGTGCATAACTCTTATAATGATCTCATGTATTCTTTGGTATAATCTCTACATGGAACTTCCCAACACCACCAGAACTGGAAATCTCCCCTAGCCATGGGGATTTTATAGGAATAAGGAGGCATCTGTGCCTCTTCAAGTATTCTGCAGAACAATGATTTTTGATATAGGCGACCGATTCTTCTAGCCCACATCAATAGTCTACATGGGAAAAAAAAAAAAAAGTTATTTGACCTATGCTTCAGTTAAAATAATTTCTACTGTCATTGCCTACAGACAATGTACATTTAAAATAAGCTTAGAATTGCTTCCCAAGTGTAAATTAACAACTAGGGCTTTTTAGAAAGAATACATCTCTTGAGACTTTTAAAAATAAGGACAGAAAAAAATGGGTGAAACTTCTGTGTGGGGAGACAGAATGAATTAAAATCCCTTGTGAACATTTAAATGTTGGGAAAATATTAGCTGCCATTCAAACAAGAGCCAGAAGGTATAAATTAACTCAGACTTCCGATTCATACTACCTCATTCTCTTTAAAAAGTTGATAGTAATGTGATTTTAGTACCAGTATGTGAAATTATGTCTCTGCGAAGTTTTGGGGACACCATCTCTTGCAAAGCATGTCCAGCTGCTGTCTCCCTAACCAGTGAGGCTGTATCTAAAGCAGGGCTGAGAAACGAGTAGGTCAGTCTTTCAATTCTTGCCTAACTGGGAGACACTAGAGTTCCTTCCTGCTCTGATTGGGAAGAGCTAATGTTTAGTTTGCTTCAAAGGTTGAATCAGATTACAAGATAAGTGGGCATCTGAAATGAAAAGAACTCCAGAAATTGTTACCAGTTGAGATGAAAAGGGGAGGGGAATGGCTAGAAGGAGGGAGAAGAGAAAGGAATGGAACACCATACCCTTTAGCCCACATGGAATAATCTGGCCCAAACCTGCACACCCTACAGCCCACACTGTTTTATCAGTCTCCTGTGAGAACACTGGATGCGTGATGTACTTTAAAACTCTCCTCCTTTTCGTCATTATCAGACAATGGAGAGCTTAACTTTTATAAACGAGAGCACTTTATCTTCCAAACATTACAGTCATTTCATGTCTAATAGGAGTTTAATCCCTAGTAATTAAGATAAATTACCACGTGCTTTAGCAGGTTGGGGTTAAAACTCTGAGATTTTCAATTGATTGCAAAAAGCCAGCCAGTTATCAAGTCCTGAGTGATTCCCTACTTATTTTACTCTAGCTAATTAAAATGTAATCACGATTATGTGCCGTGTGCATTCTGTCAGCAGTTTTACGTTTAAAAAGAAATCTTGCCAAGAAAACACACACAAAAAAAAAAAGCCTTTCACTGTGAATTGTGTTGGGCTAAACTGCCTCTTTAGCCACTGAAACTGTAAAACAAGTAAGTTACAACCGCTTGACAACGCAATAAAAAATACTAACCGCTCTCCGGGATAATGGGCTGTACTAATGGGTATCCTCCTTTCAGGCCATCCCGTGATGCACGGACCACGCTGACAGCGGGCGCACCGCCGGCCCTGGCCGAGCCCCGCGGAGCAGCGGCCGGGCCAGGCCAGGGCAGCCCCTTCTCCAGTCGGCCGGGTCGCAAGCCCGGTCTCTTCAACCCAAACCCGGTTACAGGCACCCAACCAACTTCCTGCTGCCCTTACAACGCACACACTTTCTCCTTTAACATTCCTTTTTTTTTTTTTTTTAAGTTTTTTTAAATCAGTTTATTCTTAAATACCTCTGAGACCTGCCTTTGATGCCAACACCTTTGCCCCGGACGCAACTTCACCCAAGGCGCTTGTTCGGGCGCTCTCACGAACCGGCAAGCCCGGGGTGAGCGAGCGGCGCGTTCCCGGCGCGCCACCCCGAAGGGCCGAGGTGGCTCCCTTCGCACCGAGCTGGCCAGCCCTTCCCCAAAGGGCAGGGGCTCTGGGGAGGGAGAACGGCTGGCAGCTCGGAAGGTTTCCGTCACTGGGATTATTCCGAGTAGGTTTAATATTTGCGCAGTGAAGAACAGGTGGGGAAAGGGAAAGGTGCGTGCGTAACTAGAAGAGGGAAAGGACAGGCAGACGCGCTGCTCTTGCACTAGTTCCACGCTGCTTCCAGCTTTCATTTTAAGCCACTCAGGTCTCCCGCCACTTCAGTTCCATTTCTCCCCACTTTATCCCTATTTGTCCCGTTAGCCAAAGATGTGCCTCTCCGTCCCAGAAAAAAAAAAAAAAAAAAAAAAAAAAAAAAAAAAAAAAAGGCAAGCAGCGTTACCCCCACCCTCACCTTCCCGTAGATCAGAACCAAGTATTACACGTTCATGACTATTGCTCTTAAAAAACAGGCTCAAACTTTCCCACCGGGCTGGGGAAGCGAACCACCTGCGGCGGGCTGGCGCACGGCGCGCAGGCAGGCGGAGCCCCGCGGGATCGCCGCCGCACCGCCCGTCCATCGGCAGGACGAGCGCACCGCCGGCCCGGGAGCACCGTGTCGCGCCCGCCCCGTGCCTCCGACACCACCGGAGGCACCTGCGAGGAGCCAGGGCAGAGCGTGCCAGGAGCCCCACGACCCGCCAGGCGGGGAGCCCGGCCGGCACCCACAGGCACCGACGGGGCTCGGCGCTGCCGCGGGGCCGTGCCCACCTGTCCCGCACCTCACGGTGCCGGCCATCTCCTGGGGGTACGGGCCCCCAAGTTCGCCAAGCCCCAGCCCCGGCCGTCCTTTTCGCGCCCCGGGGGACACTCGCTCTCCGGACGGTGGCAGAGGCTCCCTGCGCGGTGCCATGCCCCTACCTGGAAATGCTTGAAGAAGGCGGAGATGCGTGTGATCTGGAGGCTCAGGCACCTGGAGGCGCATCTGGCGGTGGCGAAAGGCTCGTCCTGCCTTCGGGCGGCGGCGGCGGCCCCCGGCCCGTCGGGGCTGCCGCAGGCGGCCGTCACCCAGAGGAGCAGGGCGAGGGACACGCCGGGCGCCCTCCGCACCATCGCTCTGCTGCAGAGGAGGGCAGAGGGGCGGCCGGGCGGCGCGGGGCTGCCGGGGTAAGCTCGCTCCCGCTCGGTGGGCTGGTGCCGGGCTGCGCCGGGGACGGACACCTCCGCGCCGCAGAAACTACACAAGAAAGTTCAATCATTCAACTCCTCTCACCCCCGTGCTCCCTCCCTCCCGGCCCACGGCCCTCCCCCGCCGGCAGCGGGCGGGCCGGCGCTGGCAGAGCCGCGCCATTGGCTGCGCCAGCGCCGCCGGCGGCGGGCGGGCCCTGCCCGCGGCAGGTCGGGGCGGCCGGACCCCTCCCCACGCCGCCACCTGCGGGGCGCGGGCGGCCGCGGAGCCGCACGCCCTGTCCCTGCACGCTGCAGGGCTGCGCGGGGGTGGCTGGGCGCCTGGGCCGCTGGTAGCCAGCCCTAACACACCCTGGTTAAGTCTCGTATTTTTAAAATCAATTTTAAAAAAGGACGGGGAAAGCAAGAACGGAAGGAAATCACTTTGTGAAACTCTGTGTTTCTTACAGAGTGACCCTGCGGTGAGCGCTTTTCCCAAGGTGAAACACATACAGGCTCCTCTGAAGAGTTATTTAAAAATGAAAATCTGCAAGTCATTAGTCCAAATATCTCTGTGTAATAGCTGCAAAGATTAAGATATCACCTTGAGCTGTAAAATGGCCCCCATACAGTAAATATCCGCCTAACATCCTTTCCCTCTTGCCGTCAGCTCCAGGGCCGGAGCGTGTGCCGCAGTATGTAGCACAGAGGTTACCTACCGCATTCCTCCCCCTGTGCGCGCCGCATGGACTCCTCCCGTCGCAGGTATGTGCTACAAAGAGTGAGTGGATCATTTCTCTCCGGAGCCTGTGGATTGAGCCTCCTGAACTTGAAAATCCCACCGTTGTATGAGCTGAAATAAGTAACTTTTAGGCCATTTCAGGAGTTAATACTAGGTCAGTTACTGCTATAAGTAGTAGTTTAGAGTGGTTATCACACCCTGTATTAAAAAGACTTCAGGAGGCATCTTTACTGGAATGAGTTCTAGTATAAATTAAATGTTCACTAGGAAAGTCATCTAAAATCTCATAAAAGTCAGCAAGATCTTCAACTGTTCTGGCTGGTACTAATTTTACATGGCTATAATTTTCTATGAATGTTCTTATGTATACAAACATGAAATAAAAACATATTTCCCAATGTTATTATTCTCACCAGGCTATATGAATGCACCTTTTGTGCACTTCTATATCAGAAATTCAAAGTATAAAAGGGTCTGCTACATCCCAACTAGGAAATTGCTTGTTAAATTCTACCAATTCATTCTAGCAATAGTTTTCCTATCTTACCAAAAAATTAAGGCACAGATTAAGAAAAGATTTCATGTGAGAAATACTGCTAACATACAAATATAACAAAAAGCAAGGCACATTTTACTTTAGATGTTACTTTGCAGCTTGTGGTCTCTCTTGTCAGCTGTCAGAAATCTTCACTTGAGAAAAGCCAGAAGGCCAGGGTCAGTCCTGCCAATGTCACCAAATGAAGATGACAGTTTGTGCCCTTGGATGCTTGAGGGAGCGCAGCTGCCAAAAGGTGAGGTCACCTGCCACATCCTGGCACAGAAGGTGCCCTGCTGTTTGCACTCTTTACCATACTCTGACAGCTAGTTTGGAAATGCTCTGGTTAATCAAAGGAGACCATCTCAGCTACACGTCCTGAGGAGGCATGGGTTGACTTGATGATCTTGAAGGTCTCTTCCAACCTAGTCATTCTGTCAATACTGTCAGTTCCGTGTAGCTTCCTCATTTTGCAGCTGGAATGGTTACTTTTCCTCTTGTAGTGAGCAGAGATCATAAGAGGTTCACAAAAGCTTTTCCTAATTCTGACTGATATCTCACCACTAGAAAACTGGTTACTTTGCCTGATCCAGCATCTCTCTATTTACAGAGTAAAAAACAGCACATGACAGAACAACACAGAAATAAATCCACCGTCTTAGCAATGTTATGACAAATAGTGGTGACCCCGTTCAGGCCTCAGTATTAAGTTCAAGACTTCCCAGTTTCTAGCTGACAATCTTTTAAATAGTTTTTCTTAAGCCTTGACTAAAACTTTTGCAACTTTTTTCCCTGACTCATGAAAAGAAAATTGCTTTGCTGATTCATAGTGTTTGTTTACAGGTACACTGAATGCATTGAACTTTTACCACAGATAATAAGAACTGCCTGAAAAAAATATGTCACTTTCTGTAAACCAGATGCAAATCTAGAAAAGCCAGAAAAGTCTGTGAATACACAGTTTACTCACTTGCTTTTGTTTGAAAGTTTGTGGTTACAGAGATCATCAGTGTAGTCACTAAATTCCTTCTCAATAAGGGCTGACTTGGTTAGCACACAAAAGACTGGCTGTTCACTTCCAGTAAAACTGTAGTCACACAGGTCCTGTTCCCCTATGTGGAGATTATGAAACAGGCTTGGTAGCTCAAGAATTTAGTAGGTAATTAAAACCCACTGTGGACTAAGTATCTGTTAGACCAAAGGGGTAGATACGCAAGTTTGTAAATATACTCATTTTAAATACGTTAATAATTTGGCTACAGAATAAAGAAAATTGGAAATAAATTATGTGTACATTTCAACCAACCTGCAAATATAATTATGGTCTTTAACCAGATAAATCGACTCATGGATGCATTCATATATTTTGCTTAGTCTTTTTTTGTCAATACATTTCATTAAATAGTCTTTTTGTATTAGAAGTAGTAGAATTAGTGCTAACAAATTTTTGCGAGTGCGTAGTATTATTTTTGTGCTAAAAATATCTGCATTATTTTCCTGCCTGTGCTTCGGAAGGGTCTGACAATGTACAAATGAGGGTTTTTTTGCAAACCAGGGGCTGTTTTTTCACAGGAGACAGCGCCACATGCTGGCATTACGAGGCGAGAGCCACCGGGCATTGTGCCGGTTTAGTTCTGGTTAATGAGTAGGGTTTAATCGATTCTGAATTAAGATAGCTTCATCTTAAAGAATTGCTTTGTAGTCTATAGGGAACTGCCAATATCAGGTTCTAATTTCTGGGGAAAGAAAAAAGAGGTATTGTTAATGATAAAAATATTTATTGTCTTCATATAAACCACTGTATTCTAGCTCATGGATTTAGTTTATTGTATTAAATCATGCTGATGTGCCATTTATTACTCAATTGCCTTTAGCTTTAACTACGTTACATCAAAAATTATCATAACTCTGGGTACAACATAATCCCCCATACCCTCTTCAGGAGCTCAGTGTGCAGGGGCATATGGAGGCAGTATAGGGAGCAAGGACAGGGATCTGTCTGCAGCTGCAGGGCCGTGATCTTGTCAGGATCAGGCAGACATGGTGGGATGGCTCCCATGACTGAAGTGCTGCAATGGAAGGATTTTATGAAGGACATGGCGAGGAGGGGGAGTTACCCATTATGGAAGAGGGGAGTCGCAGTGTGTGGAGCTCAGTCTGGGGATGGATGAGAGGGGAGATGAGCACATAAGGGTTAGGATTAATCTCTTGTTACCACATAAGAGAGGACAGGTAAAGGTGGCATTATAGTGGGCGTCTGCCACTTGTCACTTGACACACTGTACAAACAGATGGACGCAACCCCAAGTTCTCAGGCCCTAGTCCCCCTGAGGGTCTTCAACCACAGCAACATTGGCTGGAGGGACAAGACAGCAAGGCATGAGCAATTGAGGTGCCTGGAGTGTGTTGTTGAGAGCTTCCTCCTCTGAGAGATAGAGGAGGCAACAAGAACAAGTGATCTGCTGGATTTTATGCCAACATGGAGGTGCTTGTTGGGATGTGAAGGTCAAGGGCACTCTTGATGGCAGACACCATGAGATGTTCAAAATCTGGAGGGCAGGAAAACTGAGTTCAAAACCCAGGACTTCAGCAGAGCAGATTTTGCCCTCTTCAAAGATCTGTTTAGAAGAATCCTATGAGGTAAGGTCTTAGAGGGAAGAGAGACTCAAGAAAGTAATTTAATATTTAAGGATCGCCTTCACCAAGCTCAAAAGTAGCCCATCCCATGAACAGAAAGGAAGGCAAAAATGCCAGGAGAACTCTGTGGATGAATAAGAGATCCTAGCAGTGCTTAGACACAGAATGGAAGCACACAGTGGGTGAAAGTGAGGACCAGTAAGTGGGAAGAATACAGAAATATTGAGAATCCAGGGATCAAGCAAAAGCTCAAATGGAATTGAATCTGCCCAGAGATTTCAAGAATAAGAAAGGCTTCTATAAGTACATAGGAGACAAACGTAAGACTAAGGAAAATATGGGACCATTGCCTAATGAGACAGGGAACTTGATTAAACTGAATGTTTCCTTTGCCCCAGACCTTATTATCATGACCAGCCTTCAGGAATTTCATTTCCAAAGAGCAGGAGGAAGGTTGAAGCAAGAAATATGTCACTTTGTCAGAAAAGGATCAGGTCAGTGAACATAAAAATACAATAATTGAACGAACAAAAGTATTTTCGATTCCACTACCTAAATGGAAAAGAAATTTAAATTAAAATGTTCACTTTAAATGTTTGCCTTGAAATTTAATTGCTGGGCGTGGTCTTCACTGAACTCTGCAGGCCCTTTTTTAGAAGTACTTTTTTAATGTGGAAGTACAACTACGTTGAACTATATCAGCCTTCTATTTTTTTTTTGTTAATGAATTCATTGCCAGAGTTTAAAGAGATTTTTATATGTCCCACTTACAGTGCATGTTTAGTTCACTAATTCAGTATATACACAAGGAAGGGAATATATATATAAAAGATATACAATAATTCAGTTGGAATATTAGGAATATTTTTAACTGTATTAATTTCACTTATAGACTTAATAAAATGTTGGGAGATGGCCAGGTCACCTATGATATCTTTATTGTTTTCTTGCTAGCAACAGTTCATCAAAGAAATTGTAATAACTAGAACTCTGCTAGACACCATTCTTCTTTCTGAGTTTTGAAATCAACCTATGTTTCCTATAGTTTTCTGCTGCTCAAGGGAAAATTGGAAATTACCATGGAAAATTAAGGGATTTTGAAAGATGTTTCCACAAAACCATTTCCTTTTTCAAGTAAAACAATGGAAGCCAGAGCAGACATTGAAAAAAATTAATTTGTGCCAGGAATTATGCCATCTGAGGACAAAC